AATGAAGACATACGGACCTAAATCTTGTATAACATATGAAATGCTTATGTATGCTTGATACATAGGACTCCATTAGATACTCTGTCACTGTCCAAATACAATTTTCTTTTTTTTTTTTTTTTTTTTTTTATTTTTTTTTTTTTTTTTTTTTTTTAAATGAGTCAGTCAGAAACCTCTGATAGCACCATTTCAAATGCAAATAATTCTGTTCCAACTGCCTCTTTACATTAGCTAAATGAAGTCATCAGTAAACAAAATTGGAAGAAATCTTAACACAACTGCTGTAAACAACTTTAAAAGTTTTATATCCCAAAAGATTAAAACTGTTAGAAGACAGTTCAGATTCACTGGAGATGTTCACCACTGATAGAGTTTATAGTCAAAAAATAATCTCTCTCATCTCACCCAAACTGATACTGGTCACAGCAAATTATAATCAAAGATAGATTTCTTGGAGGGTGATAATACCATTAGATTTAAGGAATTAAAAATACATGAAACTTTTGAGTTAATGAACAGGGTCCTTAACTGCTCATTTAATTCAAACAGCTGTTTGTTAATGCCCTAAGCAGTGTCATAAACTGTGAAAATACTGTTGAGTGCAAGACACTAGTTAATGCTATAAAGCAACACATGCTCTAATATTAAAAGGATTTAATGGGATTAATAGAGAATAAAACATTAACTCCCTATTATGATGTTTTTAGGACCCAAGGGCAAATTCTGGCTAAAAAGGACTCTGGTTCTAAAAGCACAAAAAGTAAACTATAGCACTGTACAGCAAATCATGGCAATTTTATGCTCCTGAAAAAACGTGGAACCCTGATAAGATCACATCTGTTCCAATCACAGACTGGATAAAATCACTGTTTACTAAAGTCCTAAATAACTAAATATGTGGAACCCCAACAAGATCCCATCTGTTAAGACTACAATTTGGATAAGGTCCCATTACAAAAATTTCTATATAATAACATATTCACTACATATTAATGAAAATTTTTATTTTCTTCAGTTTCATCAATTCTTTCATAGGCATATACAATATTGTAAAAATTCTACTGCATAGTTAACCGGGTTGATGAACATTAATAATGTATTCAAATTTGGATTGTCACTTCAAAAAAAAAAAAAAAATCAGGAACTAGTCTTAGTGCTTAAGCTCAGTCATATGTTCTTAATTCTAGTTATTTCAAATACATCTATACAGTATCTTTCTCATTCCTAATGCAATGACAGGCTTGATAGTATATTTGTATGCAAATGACAGAAGCTTATTATTTCCAAAGGTGAATACTAGTTTTTCTGGTTTTCTTTTGAAAGAATATTCTAGGAATGAAACAGAAAGTCTGAATTTACCTTTATAGGTATAGCATATTTGAAAATTGTCAGTAGTAGGAGAATTTTTTTTAAAAAAGTTAATACAGTTAATAGTTAATACTCATATATAAATAAAATCTACTACAACTGCAATACCTTTTATTAAAAAGTCATATGGCAGAAAAAAAAAGAATTAAGGAACTGGTCTTTTTTCTAAAGATTGAAGGAAGCAAGGTTAAACATTACACTTTCAGGTCCTATTGTCCTCCAAAACATTATTAATTGTTTTATAGGGTAGTAGATAAAATTATATTTACTGATGTACTTTTAAATTAAAAATAAACCTAGCGATATTTTCTAAGCCATATATTTATAATTCTTTGGTTAATTCCTGTATTTACGATTTTTTTAACAATAATTTGCAATTGTACTTGCATAGTAAATATTTCCACCTGGAAATCTCAGATCATGACTTTTAAAAGATCACAGGACCAGAGAGAGTAGACCCCTCATTTTTAATAGAAGTGAAGGCTGGCAAACACCAAAAAAGCAATGAAAGATGTGAAGGTTCATAATTTCTACTTAAGTTCATCGAGAATACACATTTCCAGTGCTTAGTACTTCAAAAGGAAATTGTTTAAAACCAGTCACCTATCCAGGGGATAAGAACTAGTTACAAAGTAGTGGTCTTCAACTAAAGATGTCTTTAGATTCTCATGTATCGGCCTTTTCCATAAAAATACAGCAATTATTTATAGAATGAGGGAGAAGGAATGAAAAAACAAGCTAAGAAATAGTTTTCCACATTTAGACAAACTTTAAATATTTAGAAATGCTAAGCAAAGTATATTGAAAAATCCAGTTTCTCCCAGCAGAGATTTTAGTTTCAGATATGGGCTGCTGGGGTTTTTCTGTTATTTTGTTTTAGTCTGTGAATATATAAAGCAAAAAAATGTTCCTGAATGTTTATATTAGATTCCATCTGCAATAAAAGGCTCTCTTTCCCTGACCCCTTCTGGCAGGTAAAACCATCCTGACCTTTTACCTTGGGCATATGTGTATGCTTCCCTATAGACTTTTTTTTTTTTCTGTTTAAAATACAGCATTCCAAAGATCTTTTCTGATTTCTCTTCCACCTTTCTCACTGTGTTACATATTGGCAAGTCAGCTTCTCCATAAATCCTTTTCCCATCTCAACTTGCTTATATGTACTGAGCCTTTAGAATTTGCTTCCCTATAAAGTTCACGTGGCTGCATTGTGTGAATCTGCACCTTATGATGCCGGTTCTAATTCAGTGGTCATCACTTAAAAGTTAGTATTTGCCAAATGTTACCACATAGTAATATTTGCCAAGTGTTACTATGTGTTCTGAAGTCTTACAGTGCAGACACAGAGGCTGGTACTAAATGCACAGTAACTGTGTAGAACTCTCTAGAAAATGCTGGGCATCTTTCCTTCAGAAGGTGGCTACTCTATTAGTGTCACTTGCTTTAAGATTTTCTACCACACACAGGTTCGCAAAGACTTCCTACTTCTTAATAAAAAAGTGATTAAAAAAAAATCTAAATAGAAGACATTTCATATCATAAAACTTTCAAATATATTGTTTCCATTATACATATTCAGCAGTGCTCGTTACTAGTAGCAAGTTTGTCTGGCTAGGATAGAGTTAAGTTTCTTCGTAGCAGTTCTTACAGTGCTGTGTTGTAGATTTGTTACCAAAACTGTGTTAATAATACATTAATGTTTTAACAGTGCTTGTACAGTGTCAAATCCTTCTCATGTTTCTAACTCTGTTGCTCCATTGAATAAATTTGGGGTGGACAAGAGACTGGGAGGGGACACAACCAGTCAGATGATCTAAACTAACCAGAGATATTCCATGCCATAATGTCATGCTCAGCAATGAAATGGAGAGGAAGGAGGATAGGTAAGTAGCCAGCTTTTGCTCAGGAACTGCCTGGGCATTGGTCTGCCCATGAGAGGTGATAAGAAATTGCCTTTGCATCTCCCTCCCTCCCTCCCTCCCTCCGTGCTTATTAAACTATTTTTATCCTGATACACAAGTTTTCTTGTTTTTACTCTTCCCTTTCTCTTCCCCCATCCTGCTGGGAGTAGGGTGTGCAGGAATTGAGTCAGTGGCTCTGTGGACTTAGCAGACATCTCAGATGAGCCCACTACAAAGTTAGGTGACAGAAAATTACCTAGTAGTTCAAAATCAGGTAGATTCACACATCCCTAGAAAGAAGTCAAACAATTTTCTTCTTATTATCACTCAATCCTGATAGCATGGAGGTGATATGTATGATAATTTTTTGTTGTAAATTTCTTTTATAAATTCCAAAGTACTTCATCACTGTTCTCATTCATTAATTTAACCTGTAAAAAGGAAATTCCAAGGTCAAGACTGATACTCTTCTTTAACTATAGTTTACTATATCTAAATATAATGTTGTCTCCAATAATGGTAAACTTTTAAAATCTTGCAGTGCGTGGTAAACACAACAATCCAGGTTAAATTAAAAAAAAAAACCAACAAAACAAACCCACAATCAAAAAACCCCCAAAACAACCCAGACTGTTGGTTTTCTATGGAAATCAAAAGAACATTTATCACAAAAAGCAGTATTAAGTCTGTTTATTGACAGTTTATTATGAATTTTGTGTTCTAGGCTTCCCAAAGGGGGTGAGGGCTGAAAGCAGAAAGATCTGCTTCTTTCCTTGGTCCTGGATGCTGCTGCACGGGCAGATGAAGCCTACTGAGGAGAGACTGGGGGATATGCCCTTTTCCTGAAAACCACTGAACATGTTCATCTGGAAGAAATTCCTAGAGTATAGGCTAGAGCATGCTGAAAAATCACACAAGAGTAGTAAACCTGCAGAATGAGCAAAGATTGGGAAACTCCTGAGAAGGGCAGGGAGCTGATTGTCAGACAGATCTCAAGGGTGCTAGAAAGCAGTTTCAGGTTCCCTGAAACCTCAGTAAAATTGAAGTTTTGTTGTTCTGTTTATGTTATGTTGATGGCAAGAAGAAGAAGTCACTGCAATGGCACAGAAGTAAGCCACCAAGTCAGGAAGATTTAGCAGATTCTTTGGTGAGAAAGTTCTGTTACTCAGGAGACCACCTGACACAACTGTCTTCACAGTGCTCGCTGCTCAGAAGAGAGGAGAAGAAATGTCTTACTGTGTCATAGTAGGACTTTCCTCTAGCCTAGTATTCTTGGCAGCAAGAGATGTTATTTAGGGAGAGCACATGAGCTTTACTACTATCCAAGAATTAGTCCCCCACTGCTCCAGCATCCACAGTCACTGGATTGGGCACATGAAAGAGTATGGCACATCCATGCTACTACCTTTAGCATTAGTTTATGGAACTCTTGTCCACAAACTTGTTTAATCCCTTTCAGAACCATTAATACTCTCTGTTTCCACAAACTCTTGTTTATGGAGAAGATTATTACTGACTGGGTGAAGAAAAAGTACTTTTAAAAATCTTAATTTAAAACCTATCTCCTACTAGTTTTGGTAACTTGTACCTGTCTCTAGTATTGCAAGATTTGTGAATAATAGTTCTATGTTCACCTTATTCAGTGCCTCTGTGGCTTTGTCAATGAGGCGCCTACCACAGCTATTTCCAAAAAAGATTCTAGAGGCTTTTTCAAATGTGACTTCAGAAGACAGCGAGGTCTCCACCACCCTGAAATAAGCCCTGCTGCAGAAATTTGAGATTATCCTCTATCTCCATTTTCTAGAGGTTAGGAATATGAAAATGAACTAGCTACCTAGGCGTCTGAAGGATTTGGGGATATCAGGAAAATACCATCCTGGAGAAAGTGTTTAAACTGTGTAACTTGTTTTGTATCTCTTGGAAGTAGGACAGTTGCATTTTAACTGTCCCTGACAGTTAAAATCTTAGCATGAACGATTAACGGACTATCATAGGTGGGAAGGAGTACATAAACAGATAAGACAGCTAAGGTTAAGTAAACCATACTTGTGAGGTTATTTTGGAGAAGACCTGAGATACAGAGAAGTATGGAAAAAGAAGAAAATTATTTTCCTCTAAGTAAATTTGTTCTAACAGGAAAAGTTATTCAGCCTAAAAATCAGACTTTGTCTCTGCCAGGAATATGAGGAAGCTATCTGATGAAAAAAAACCAAACAAACAACTGTAATTGAAATGATAAGACACAAAGACATGCAGTAAATAGTTGTATTATATTTCAGAGATGTATGGAGGGAAAATTTAACAAACTATCCTTATAAGAAAGAACCCTGAGGAAGGAAAAGCCACAAATCGGACTCAAAGAGAGACAAATCATTCTTAAAAATTCAAAGAGGGAATCAATACATCCAAAAGTAACCCAGAACTGAAGCGTGTACATCCTGGATTACTAGACCAAAAGATTTAATTTCAAATAGGACTCACGGTATCCAAGTCTGTAGTGCATTTGAAATTGTGTAAGTAGAAAAAGAACAGGCTATTTTTTCCTCACTCAAACTTAACATGAGAGACTGAATACCATTTAACCTGATAAGAAATGATGGGACAAGAAAGAGACTCCTAAAAGCAACCAATGCTCAAATTTTAAGAGAATTCGGTGGAATTAATGGAGCTAGAAAAGAAAAATATGAACACAGAAACCAAAAAGTATTGTAAGGACACAGATTTAGAACTCACGTCTATGTATGGCAATCATGTGATAAAGCTGATGCTTGTTAGACCTACAGTTAGGTCAGGCAGCTATATATAGAATAGTATAGCATATCAGATGTTACATATTATCTAATCAGGACCAGTCCTGGTGGGTATAAGTGCATGATAAAGCTTTCCACTAAAGAAATGATCTAATTCTTGCATCAAAATGGTGAAGATTGCTTAATGCAGTTGAGGGTGCCTAGGATGAACACTAGATATTATTGAAATTTCAGTGGACCTTAGCCTTTGTTAGATGAAAGAGGTGAAATTGGTGCTGGATATATACATCATCAATGATTTCCAATTGCCACCCCAAAAAACAATAATCCCTCTCATTGGTCTCAAACTGTGACCCAGAAATCTGTTCTATGTATCCTAACAAGTTCAGAGGAATTTAGGAAAGATCTTTAACTGAGATTCCAGAAGGTCTGGAAATAACTGTTAATGGGATTGTCTTGGAGCCCCAGATAATCCTCTGATGTGTTAGATGGAAAGTCACGTGGTATAATCAAAGCCTGTGCTGACTATCAGAAGTTGAAGTTTCTCTTCAGATGCATTTCCCACAGCCTTGCTTTGATGAGTTCCTGGGAAAAGACTGCAGTATTAAGAATGACGCTACTGAATGAACGTTTACTGACATATCTTCAATGCCTACATCACTAGGACCCTAACATTTCAAGATCTGGAAAGTCTCCTCACTTTGAGGAAAAGGTGCAGACTGTTCCACCTCAAAGGTCTGGCAAGTTCAGTCTCTTGTTACAGTAATGAAAACAACTATGTGTGAGCAGAACTTTGGGGTAGAAGGAAGAATTGCAGTTTATGTACATGTCAAAATGAAAGGGAGCAGTTCTGACTTTGTATTTGTATTTACATTTTGGGGAAAAAAAAAAAAAAGTCAACTAGGCTAGAGGGAAGTGAATTGTCATGGGGATGGACAAATCCTGAAAGAGCTAAGTTGGGATGGAAAGTTTTAATGCAATGTGGGAGTAATCACTGCGCATAAAACTACATCTAAAGAAATTTTGGAGGGGTGAAATAAGAAATGTTATGGTAGAAGGAAAATTTATAAAGAAGTTGATACTATAATAAAGAAGGAATACTTTGTTGAAAAGTAAGTAGTAATATCATTCATTCAGATCTTACGCTTTCCAATTTCTTATCTGAAAAGGAAAATGGAGAAGGAAGAGGAAGAAACCTTCTTTATATTATAACTCTATTAACTTCCCATACCATTTACTTACTACAAACACTAGGTTATCTTAACAAGCTATTTCAAAAACATGCAAATTAATCACAAACATATGTATTTAGCCATATACAGTGATTTTCACTGGAACAGAATGTTTACAGGAGTAACTAAATGAATCTTCATGGAATTCTAAATAGGGAATCTAATAAACAATAATTCTTCTATTATTTCTACTGAAAATTGATGTATTCTTACAGCATTTACATACTGAGAAATTTTTAGGAACTTCGAGCCTGTAAATGGTTCCTCTAATTCATTAGTAGACAATATTGCTCATTGAATATGAATTCCATCTCAATAAACTATTTTAATAAAACTACCTATCATTATGCGATCCTTTCTGAAAGGATTTTACTAATGATATTAATAATATTTTTTGCAGTTGCCATAGCTGCCAGAAAGGAGAAAGGAAGAATATAAAAAAAGAAATGCTTAAATAGAAAATGCAGAAACACTTCCTTATACTCAGGAAGTGTTATCCACAGATGTTGTAATGAACACAAGTTAAAGGTAACAGTTCCACAACATTAGCTCACCAGCATATTTTAAATCTTGTCTTTTCATATGCAGAAATACTAAAAATCTTCGTAGTATCAACTTGTCTGTGGGTGCTGTTGCCCACAGTATTTTCACAAAAGAGAGTTCAGAAATTCAAGTGACAGCAAACCATCCAAGATTAAAGGATCACTGAAGCAAGGCATTAATCAACACCCATAAGAAAAACTTCTTCCATTTCAGGCCCCAAGTTTTCCTCTTGAAAGACTTATGACTGACCAGAAACAATTAATGAATGTCTTGCTAACACTGTGTTTTGCAGCTAAGCCACATACAATAAATCAGTTCTGTCAAAGTTGAAGGTTTGGGGTTTGAATGGGGAACTTGATGGTAACCTTGTCTCTGGAGCTTCTGGATCAGCTGGTAGGAGAAATGGCAAAATCTCTGAATCATTAAACTAATTTGGAGTAAGCAGAATCCCATTAACTAAGTGGTTTGATGATCTCTGGTAGAGGATGTAACAGTGAGAAAGAAATACATACAATCACATTACTTCAGTAGATACTAGCAAGTTCTCTGGGAACCAGATCCTTAGCAGAGAATGGAAGAAATCTACCTTTCTGACAAGATCAGAGATATTCCTTATTTTCAGAAATCTAAATTAAAATTTCCTTTATAATCTGTCCACTTAAGCAATTTACATTTTCCTCAAACTGTCAAACAAAATAAGTTAATAACAATGAAGCAAATACAAGAGAAGTTATGCAATAAGGACCACCCCTAGAACCAAACCACTTTTTCCAGGACTGCCTCTAAACTATTTAGACAGTTATCTGTTATATACCAGAATAATTTTCTCATCCTCCTTTTTAGTGAAGATTGTCAGACATGCGCATTAGAATCTTGTCTATCACAGTTTAAAAGGCATTTAAAATAGCCTCAGACAGACAAAAGCCATGTTCCCACTGCCTGCTATTTGCCCAAGAAACATTGTTTTCAACTGCAAAAAAATACTCTTTTATGCAATCTTGGCACCTAGTACTGCCTGTGCTGATGCTGGAATCAGCTTTCCTTCTGAATATCATGCAACCTATCTGCAAGAATTCTGCGATGCAAGTTGCATGGCAAGGACTATAAGAGTACATCAATCAACCCTGCACATAGCTCAAGTTTCTTGCAGAAATTAAGTATCTGGGGTTTGTTAGACCACTATATAACCTCAGTTATGACGAGACGAAAATAAAGTATATGGTGACTTTAGCCCAACAAAGCAGAGAGTGGAATAACTGGTAACACAATTGGAAATGAAGCTACAAAAAGGGAAAACATAAAATGTGCATTATCAGTATCTATCTGAAACTTTCACTCTGTTCTTAACTTCCACCTCAGGACCAGAATATAATTAGTTTTTGAGGCTTGAGGATAAGCACAAACAAGTACTTGTCCTGTCAGAGTAATATTCTAGCAAATCAACCTATTTATTTGATTAGAGTTCTTTATTTACATTTCTTTTTGATTATGCAGTCAGTGAATACAAATGAACCCTAAAAGGTAGATTGGGTACCCAATGTTCCATCTTCCCTCTAGCACATTTGGAGATAGTGTCGTATATGTGCTTCATTTTACTTCCTTCCCTTGCTGCTTTTCTGTACAGATAGTTCTTTTGCACTAGTAAAACCACAAAATTATGCTTAAAGATTTTGGAGTTTTTTCAGTTAGGCAGACTTATTTAGACTGATGTTTAGCCACAAGTACAAATGCATAAGAAAAGGGCCTTCCAACATTCCTTCAATATTCATTATGTTTCCTAACCATTCTTTGTAAATCAAAACCTCCTTTACTTTATTACAAGTCTTCAAAAATCATATAGCTTGAGAAACAATTAGTATAAAATATCATATTAACACAAAAGTAATTTTCCTTTTCCCCAGTAGTTCACTACAATCTATCAAGATACCTAAAATGACAGAAAATAGATATGCTATCAGAAGTGCTCAATTTATATGGCATCCCCTTAACACTCTGGTAATTTTAATAGCGATACATACACCCAAATTACTTGTAATGGGCCAAAGAAAACCAGCATCAGAGAAAGAATAAATTTGTCCTGATTTTTGGTTCTGTGCTTTAAGTCAAAATACTACTCTTTATGCTGCTTAAATCTTGTGGAAGAGTGTGTTCATACCTATTCTGAGAAAAATAAGAGAAAAACTGTGGAGAGCACTCATGGTAGGTTGAGATAGT